AGAGAGAGAGAGGGAGGGAGACACGTAGGTTAGAGATGGGGAGGGAGGAATTAAGAGTGGGAGGGAGGGAGGGGAGTGGGGAGGAAGGGAGGGGAGTGGGGAGGGAGGGAGGGGAGTGGGGGAGGGAGGGAGGTGAGTGGGGACGAAGGGAGGGGAGTGGGGAGGGAGGGAGAGGAGTGGGGAGGGAGGGAGGGGAGTGGGGAGGGAGGGAGGGAGAGGAGTGGGGAGGGAGGGAGGGGAGTGGGGAGGAAGGGAGGGGAGTGGGGAGGGAGAGGAATGGGGAGGGAGGGAGGGGAGTGGGGGAGGGAGGTGAGTGGGAGGAAGGGAGGGAGTAGTGGAGGGAGGGAGGGAGGGGAGTGTGGGATGAGTAGAATGGTGTATATGGAGGATGGGAGTATGTGGATAGGAGTGGAGGATTATGGGAGTAGGGAGGGAGTGGATGGAAGGGATGGAGTGGAGGCGAGGATAGGATGTGGGTAGTGAATGTAGTGGGGAGGAAGCAGGGGGTGGGAGGAGGGTAGTATGAAGGATTGTGTAGAGAGTGGGGTGGGAAGTATTGATTGGATCAATGGGTGGAGGGAGAGTGAGTGGGCATGGAAGGGAGGGGGAGTGGGGAGGAAGAGGAGGGAGTGGAGGGAGGGAGGAGGGAGTGAGGGAGAGGGAGTGGAGGGAGGGAGGATGCAGGGAGGGAAGGGAGGGGAAGTGGGCAGGGAGGGAGGGGAGTGGGCAGGGAGGGAGGGAGGGAGAGTAGGGGCAGGGAGGGAGGGAGGGGAGGGGGGGGAGGGAGGGAGGGAGTGGGAGGGAGGGAGAGGGAGTGGGGAGGGAGGGAGGGAGGGAGTGGGCAGGAGGGAGGGAGGGGAGTGGGCAGGGAGGGGAGGGGGTGGGAGGGGAGGGAGGGAGGGGAGGAGGGAGGGAGGGAGGGGAGTGGGAGGGAGGGAGGGGAGTGGGGAGGGAGGGAGGGGAGTGGGGAGGGAGGGAGAGGGGAGTGGGAGGGAGGGAGGGAGTGGGCAGGGAGGGAGGGGAGTGGGGAGGGAGGGAGGGGAGTGGGGAGGGAGGGAGGGGAGTGGGGAGGGAGGGAGGGGAGTGGGAGGAGGGAGGGGAGTGGGGGAGGGAGGGAGTGGAGGAGGGAGGGAGGGGAGTGGGAGGAGGGAGGGAGGTGGGGAGGAGGGAGGGGAGTGGGGAGGGAGGGAGGGGAGTGGAGGGAGGGAGGGGAGGTGAGGGAGGAAGGGAGTGGGGAGGGGAGGAGGGAGTGGGGGAGGGAGGGAGGGAGGGGAGGGGAGGGGGTGGGGAGGGGAGTGGGAGGGAGGGAGGGAGGGAGTGGGCAGGGAGGGAGGGAGGGGGAGTGGGCAGGGAGGGAGGGAGGGGAGTGGGCAGGGAGGGAGGGAGGGGAGTGGGCAGGGAGGGAGGGGAGTGGGCAGGGAGGGAGGGAGGGGAGTGGGCAGGGAGGGAGGGAGGGGAGGGGCAGGGAGGGAGGGGAGTGGGCAGGGAGGGAGGGAGGGGAGTGGGCAGGGAGGGAGGGGGGAGTGGGAGGGCAGGGAGGGAGGGGAGTGGGCAGGGAGGGAGGGGAGTGGGCAGGGAGGGAGGGGAGGGGAGTGGGCAGGGAGGGAGGGGAGTGGGCAGGGAGGGAGGGGAGTGGGCAGGGAGGGAGGGAGGGGAGTGGGCAGGGAGGGAGGTGTGGCAGGGAGGGAGGGAGGGGAGTGGGCAGGGAGGGAGGGGGAGTGGGCAGGGAGGGAGGGGAGTGGGCAGGGAGTTGGAAGGATCATGATTAAGTTATGAATGTTATTAATATGGAGTCAGCTAAGGCCCAAGAAGGGCTATAGCACTGGGAAATGAGAGGTAAATGGTTTGATCTAGGGAGAGAGAGGGTAGCACCATTCCTCAGGTCAAGGAGCCCTTGCACGAGTAGTAACTCTAACTGCAACTTCTAAAATGATGGAGGATTTAATGGCATATCATGACGGTTAGTGTATATAGTGAGGTATATGTATATAGTAGTTATAGTGTATATAGTGAGGTATATGGTATAAGCAAGTATAATGATGGATATGTGAGGTATAGGTTTGATGTGAGGTTAGTGTAATAGTGACATTTATAGTGCTATCAATTATGAAGGTTAAATTGTATATAGTGAGGTATATAATGATATAGTGAGAGTATAGTGATATAGTGAGGTATAGTGTATATAGTGAGGTATAGTGTATATAGTGAGGTATAGTGTATATAGTGAGGTATAGTGTATATAGTGAGGTATAGTGTATATAGTGAAGTATAGTGCATATAGTGAGGTATAGTGTATATAGTGAGGTATAGTGTATATAGTGAAGTATAGTGCATATAGTGAGGTATAGTGTATATAGTGAGGTATAGTGTTATATAGTGAAGTATAGTGCATATAGTGAGGTATAGTGTATATAGTGAGGTATAGTGTATATAGTGAAGTATAGTGCATATAGTGAGGTATAGTGTATATAGTGAGGTATAGTGTATAGTGAAGTTGTGCATTAGTGAGGTTAGGTATATAGTGAGGTATAGTGTATAGTGAGTATAGTGATATAGTGAGGTATAGTGTATATAGTGAGGTATAGTGTATATAGTGAAGTATAGTGCATATAGTGAGGTATAGTGTATATAGTGAAGTATAGTGTATATAGTGAAGTATAGTGCATATAGTGAGGTATAGTGTATATAGTGAAGTATAGTGTATATAGTGAAGCATAGTGTATATAGTGAAGTATAGTGTATATAATGAGGTATAATGTATATAGTGAAGTATAGTGCATATAGTGAGGTATAGTGTGTATAGTGAAGCATAGTGTATATTGTGAAGCATAGTGTATATAGTGAAGTATAGTGTATATAATGAGGTATAATGTATATAGTGAAGTATAGTGTATATAGCGAGGTATAGTGCGTATAGTGAAGCATAGTGTATATAGTGAAGTATAGTGTATATGAGGTATAATGTATATAGTGAAGTATAGTGTATATAGTTAAGTATAGTGCATATAGTGAGGTATAGTGTATATAGTGAAGTATAGTGTATATAGTGAGGTATAGTGCATATAGTGAGGTATAGTGTATATAGTGAAATATAGTGTATATAGTGAAGTATAGTGTGTTTAGTGAGGTATAGTGTATATAGTGAGGTATAGTGTATATAGTGAAGTATAGTGTATATAGTGAGGTATAGTGTATATGGTGAAGTATAGTGTATATAGTGAGGTATAGTGTATATAGTGAAGTATAGTGTATATAGTGAGGTATAGTGTATATAGTGAGGTATAGTGTATATAGTGAAGTATAGTGTATATAGTGAGGTATAGTGTATATAGTGAAGTATAGTGTATATAGTGAAGTATAGTGTATATAGTGAAGTATAGTGTATATAGTGAGGTATAGTGTTATAGTGAAGTATAGTGTATATAGTGAGGTATAGTGTATATAGTGAAGTATAGTGTATATAGTGAAGTATAGTGTATATAGTGAGTTATAGTGTATATAGTGAAGTATAGTGTATATAGTGAAGTATAGTGTATATAGTGAGGTATAGTGTATATAGTGAAGTATAGTGTATATAGTGAGGCATAGTGTAGTATATAGTAAGGTATAGTGTATATAGTGAGGCATAGTGTAGTATATAGTAAGGTACTAGTGTTGTATTGTGTAGTATATAGTGTCGGATCAGCCGGGCTGTTTCGTACGTTTAAGTACGTGCGGCCAGCAGTAACAGCCTGGTTGATCAGGCCCTGATCCACCGGGAGGCCCTGATCATGGACCGGGCCGCGGGGGCGTTGACCCCCGGAATACCCTCCAGGTCGTATAGTGTTGTATTGTGTAGCATATAGTGTGATATGTTATATAATGTGGTATAATGTTATATAGTGTAGTATACCCGTGCGAGGAGGAGGAGGAGGAGGGGGGGTTAACAAGGAGATCGTGTTTTATCGGCGTCACCCATCCAGTTGCTGGCCCGACTCAGTGGACCTTACCCTGACTGAGGGAGCAACGTGTTCAAGGATGTGGATGTACAGGTGGAAGACTCTTGCTGGAGAGTACCATGTGTTATGTACAGTGAGCTGGGTTAAGGAAGGAACAAACAAGAATAGGGTGGGCGCCACATTCATTGAAAGGTATTATTAAAAAAATGCCGAAAATAAAGTTGCCGAGATGAGCTGATCATGTGGAGAAAATGATACACATTACTTGAATAATAATAATAATAATAATAATAATAATAATAATAATAATAATAATAATAATAATAATAATAATAATAATATATATTATTATTATTATTATTATTATTATTATTATTATTATTATTATTATTATTATTATTATTATTATTATTATTATTATTATACAGGAGGGCCCCGCTTATACAGCAGATTAGGTTTCGGGTTACTGCTGTAGAGTGAAAATTGCTGTAAAGTGAAACAGCCTTTTTTCACTTTCAGATGAATATAAAACCCTGTTAACATGTTTATACTATCGTATATTGAGTAATAGTGCTAGGCATTAAAAATACATATACAGTACACACATTACTTACCTTAAAATATTTTCGTCCTTAGCTTATAGTAGTGGTGAATATATTTATTGAATAAATGAATAATGGTTATGTATAATTGAAAACCACTGCATTATCAAAACGCTGTAATGCGAAGCGCTGTAAAGTGGAACCCCGCCTACATATTTTTTCCCCCAAGCTGCGACTCACAACAGTCAGCTAGGCAGATAGGTTGGCCAAGTATACATATAATACAGCCAAGCCCCCGCATACAGACAGTGAAATAGAAGATGGATTCAGTATTTTTCGCCCTCATACTCGACCCTCTTCAACAATGAACATTAAAATGGTATAAAATACCGACAGGTTGTTAGGTAAGACACATATGCAAAGTTAGGTATACCTAACTGTTGCATATGTGTCTTACCTAACCTCTTCAACAAACTGTTGGCTGAATCAAATCTCAGTTGTAGGCTTAATTATACAGCAGTCGGGTTCTCTTTAGTTTTACTGTCTCCATGTGGGTTTATTGACTCTTTTAGCAGTGTTTCTTACACTTTTATGATGAGTGTGTAAAAGTAGAACGGAAGTAAGATACATGGAATAACGAACAATGAGACATTTGTGCAGTGAGACACATGTTGCACAGTGTCTCATTCTTCAACTTGTCAGTTTTGTAAAGCATTTATATCACATGGAATAATGTGAGGATGAGCTGGAGGCAGGTGGTGAAGGAGGCGCCCGGAGGTTATTGACACACCGGACATTCAGTAGTTTCTTGTGAAGGTGAACGCTCAATGGAATTATAAATATTAATGAACTGTGAACATGACTCTCCAGGAAGTTTGCTAGCGAGAGTAGAGTTTTAGAAGGTGTGAAACTACAGTGTTTACTCTCTTGAAAGTTACGTGGGAAGGCTGGAGTTCAGTGGATCAACAACACTGACTCTACGATGTTCGTGTCCTGGAGAGTCACCTGGTGGGAGTAACCGTGAATGGTTTCTTTCATTAGGTTACCTTCCCTAAGCACCTAACACTCAGCTAGTTACATCAAATAATGATTACAGTTTTATGCAGCTACTGTATCCATTGAAGTTAATCTCTGTAGATTTATTTATGATTAATCAGTTATGAATGCAGTTATTATCGTTATTATATCTAGAGCTGACATTTTTAAGAGAATGGAGCATTAGTCAGCTTCCTCCCAGAACAATGCTTGTAAGGTGTCGAGTCAGGAGCTATCACAGCTGCAAGTGGTTCTATATTTAAGTGGCTCCGGCTGTTTTGAGTGTCTGGCTCCATTATGAGAGAGAGATGGAGTCAGGTGGTATCGGCTGGTGTGGTAGGAGCTGCAGGTGGTGCTACATAGTGGTGTGCTCAAAGCTGCAAGTGGTGCCACATAGTGGTGGCTCCAGGTGTTTTGAGTGCCTGGCCCCAGTGCGAGAGAGTGATGGAGGTGTTGTAGTCAGGTGGTGGTGGGTGATTACTGTTGTCAGGAGAATTTCCCAGATAGAGCAAAGGTCCCAGCTGCACCTTCCCCACACCGTCTTCGACACCCCACTTGGAAGTGTACAACAGCTGCGGAAAAAAACAGGTAAGCAAAATGGTCAACGTATAACAGAAGGACGATGGTATAACTAAAAAAATATTGATAGAGTCTGCCCAAAATGGTTTTTGAACAGCCATTGTAGGAAGAAAGCCATAAATAATAACTGGTTGATAAGAGCAGAAAGGCACAAAGCCGTGACTGGAACAATATACAAATAACCCGCACATACGAGAGAGACGCTTACGACGACATCTCGGTCCGTTTCGGCATATAAAAGGTGATGGAGCCAGTATATATAAGGGCTCCCTCTCCTTCGTGTGTTAGTGTGACTTGTAAATAGTCCAAGTAGGACCGAAACTTCTCCATAACCTTCTCACTTCTATGTGCGGGTGATTTGTGTAAAAATTGCTTGGTTAGTTTCTTAGCTTCAAATTCTATCGACTGCATCAGAGTTATTAAGGCGGCACATTTCACCGAAATGTGGTCAGAACTGTCCTCTCCACAGCATGGGTTACTTGTGAACTTTTCCAGCCTCGGTATTTAAGTCTCTAACAGAAATAAATTAAAATATTGAAATATTTATAATTTTATATATGATAAATAACTCCCCGCTTGTATCAAAACATCTTGCTGCCGACAATAATGAGAAAAATGACATGCTACAGAGGAAACTATTACTGGAACAACGTTTCTCTCATGGGTTTTTAAAGCTCTACACACAGCGAAACGTTGTCCCAACAGAAGCTTCCTCTGCAATGTGTATCTTGCCTTCAACTTCAACGTAAATTAGTCTCGTTGTAAGATGAATACTGAGTGACCTGTACCTTGAGGATGATGGCTGCGTGTTGCAGACTGTCTCGTCGCAGGATAAACACAGAACGACACCTAAACACAGGGTCGTGAGTCACTGGCATCTGTACAGGGCTGGAGGATTCTCTCTCGATGCGTTCACCCTTCACCCACAGAGCCACCCGACACACCACATCGGCCGAGTCTTCATATAAGATTTATTATAATATAAGATACAGTACATTATAAGATACATTGTGGTTATATGCATCGATAGTTGTGTCTCTCCAGTGGTGGGTCATCATATGATAAACTTTACCTAACCTAATAAGTGTATATACGCTGAGAGTTTAAGTTAACCCTTATTTTAGGGAATAAATTATCCTTGGACCGGTTGTGAACACGTTACATACCGACTTAATGGCCCTTATTTAATCGATAGGCCTTAATCCCAATTAAGCAATCATTTTTTTCCCACTAAGATGCATTACAGTTACAACAGCAAGTAACCTGTATTACTTAGCATTTTGGGCAGAAGGAAACAAGGTGAGTAAAATTTGTACAGCATGCATCTCAGGACGGAGGATCGAGCCGGCCCCATTTTTTTGTGGTGAAAATTCCACAGAGGGTTTTAACCGCTTCTCATAACAAAAAACAAATGCCCGGAAACCTATCGGACTTCTATGATCTTGTTGCCATACTCCATCATACAGGATGATCTTGTTGCCATACTCCATCATACAGGATGATCTTGCTGTCATACTCCATCATACAGGATGAACTTGTTGCCATACTCCATCATACAGGATGATCTTGTTGCCATGCTCCATCATACAGGATGATCTTGTTGCCATACTCCATCATACAGGATGATCTTGCTGCCATACTCCATCATACAGGATGATCTTGTTGCCATGCTCCATCATACAGGATGATCTTGTTGCCATGCTCCATCATACAGGATGATCTTGTTGCCATACTCCATCATACAGGATGATCTTGTTGCCATACTCCATCATACAGGATGATCTTGTTGCCATACTCCATCATACAGGTGATCTTGTTGCCATATCCATCATACAGGATGATCTTGTTGCCATACTCCATCATACAGGATGATCTTGTTGCCATACTCCATCATACAGGATGATCTTGTTGCCATACTCCATCATACAGGATGATCTTGCTGCCATACTCCATCATACAGGATGATCTTGCTGCCATACTCCATCATACAGGATGATCTTGTTGCCATACTCCATCATACAGGATGATCTTGTTGCCATACTCCATCATACAGGATGATCTTGCTGCCATACTCCATCATACAGGATGATCTTGCTGCCATACTCCATCATACAGGATGATCTTGTTGCCATACTCCATCATACAGGATCTTGCTGCCATACTCCATCATACAGGATGATCTTGCTGCCATACTCCATCATACAGGATGATCTTGTTGTCATACTCCATCATACAGGATGATCTTGTTGCCATACTCCATCATACAGGATGATCTTGTTGCCATACTCCATCATACAGGATAGCTTTCCTATCATAATACATCACACAAGATGGTTTTCCTTTCATATTCTACCACACGGGATCTTTTCTTCATATCTGAATACACAGTATAGTCTTCCTGTCGCAATTCATCACAAAGATTCAATTTTCACATAACGTAATAAAGTCCGTCAGCTTGAGCTGGGAGACATTAGGTGGGAGACGAGGATATCGTCAAGCACTGCGCTACACAAATAACCCGCACATAAAAGAGAGAAGCTTACGACGACGTTTCGGTCCGACTTGGACCATTGACAAAGTCACACTAACAGAGGTGGAGCAGGACGGCTATATATAGGCAGGAAGAGGTGGAGGTAGTAGTAGTAGTAGTAGTAGTAGTAGTAGTAGTAGTAGTAGTAGTAGTAGTAGTAGTAGTAGTAGTAGTAGTAGTAGTAGTAGTAGTAGTACAAGAATTGTATATAATACCGACAAGATGAAATTAAGACACATGCACAACACCGCTAGGTGAGTGGAGCAGCAGGAGCATAGGAAAACTTGCTCGTGCGATTCGCTGAGTCTAAGAATTGATCCTCGGACGTTTCTTTTGTGAGCGAAACGCTGCCACCATTGCGTAACTAACTACCCGGAGAAACGTATGTGCTCCCCTGCCAACGGTTGAGTCATGATTCCTGAATGTATCAGTCTTCAACTAGAGGAAGGTCAGTGATGTTAACCAGGATGACATGGCCACGTGAAAGACATGATATAGAAATAATCAATTATTTTTTTAGGAAACACAGCAAAAAGCGTAGCCACACAGGCAATAAGACACAAGCGAGCAAATTGGTTAATTATTTGGGTTAAAATCTATCAGTTGCATGAGTGTTATTGTCGATGTGTGTCACCTGAACACAACAAATCAATAGTTTACTCATGTAATAGGGACTACAGTAAACCCTCAATGTATATACACAAGGTGATGCACACAATATACATTCGCTTTGGAGAAAAACGGCATAAAATACCGACAAGATGGAAAAAAAACACAAATTGTTATTTCATGCAAGAGATCATTTAGACCAGGGTAGGCATGTATGAAAAAAAAAACTATAGTGCTGGAATGTATATCACGGGGATGAAAAAAAAAAAGTACTTACAGAATATTTATTTAATAACTGCAAAACAACCACTGTGAAAAAGTGAAATCCCTAGAAATTTCACTGTTGTTCACAGAGGATGTTTTGCATATTGTGATATCATCTATTTACTGTGATCTTATTGCATTATTTAATAATTATAATTAAACAGATACCTTTCTTCCTGGCCTTGGAGAGGACGCTGGGGTGGTGCAGACGCAAGATCTTGGCTCTGAGGACTTCCAGTGTGAGAGTGACTTCGCTGTGTGTTTGTCCAGGAAGTTCTGCCTCGGCATCAGAGTAATCACAGCGCAGACTCACCTCTACTACACCCAGATCATCGGTCAACTGCAAAAACATGTCAACAGTGAGACACCGTGATATCTAGGAGTGGATAATGGCTGTACGTACACACATAAGTCATATTTCAGTCTTGGCCGCCGGGGACGTACTGTCACAGGAGCAGTCTTGCTGACTCGACCCTCGTATTATTAACGTGAATCTTAACGCCAAGATTGTTTCTGTTGGGGAGTGTCTCTTCTGGTACTTTGTCAGTTGTTCTAATCTTCACAACGCACGTGATCATATCTGACCTTTACTGTCTTCCAACCTCTCTTCACTTTACCTTATTTCTGTCTTTCTTCCCCTTTTTTTTATAATGACTGATAATGGTCCAGAACCGAACGAAACGTCGTCTAGTTTCATCTCAGTATATCCAAGACACATAGTAAACCTTAGTTAAAAAGACTTTTCGGTCAGCAAGAGTTTTATCCCTAAGCGAAACGTTGTTTTCAAGCCATCCTGTGTCCTCATGCCTTTTACTTACTAGGTGCCGGCTCACTGTCTATCTTTCATGAGTCATCTCCAGTTTTTCTTAATTCTCACTTATTTCACTTCTTGGGAACCTCAGCATTTCCCATTCGCTAAAGAGAAATCTGTAAGTAGTAGTCAAATTTATAACTATTCTTCGAAACATATTTTTTTTTCAACATGTTGGCCGTCTCCCACCGAGGCAGGGTGACTCAGAAAAGAAACACTTTTACCATCATTCAGCACTTTCATCATCATTCACACATAATCACAATCTTTGCACAGGCGCTCAGATATGACAGTTTAGATGTCACTCTAGACAGTCAATATCCCAACCCCCTCCTTTAGAGTGTAGGCATTGTACTTCCCATTTCCAGGACTCAAGTCCAGCTAACCGGTTTCCCTGAATCCCTTCACAAAATATTACCCTGCTCACACCCCAACAGCTCATCAAGTCCAAAAAACCATTCGTCTCTATTCACTCCTATCTAATACGCTCACACATGCCTTCTGTATGCCCAAGCCCCCTTCCATACAAAACCTCTTGTACCCCCTCCCTCCATCCTTTTCTAGGACGAAACCTACTACTCCTCCATCCCTACACTACAGATTTATACACCCTCCAAGTCATTCTATTTTGCTCTATCCTCTCTAAATGACCAAAATACCTCAATAACACCTCCCCAGCCCTCTGAATAATACTTTCAGTAACTCCACACCTCCTCCTAATTTCCACACTACGAATTCTCTGCATAATAATTACACCACACATTGCTCCACTGCCTCCAGATTTCTCTCGCTGCAGCGTTTACAACCCAAGCTTCACACCCATATAAGAGTGTTGGAACCACTATACTCTCATACATTCGCTTCTTTGCCTCCATGAATAACATTCTTTGATATATATCAAAGCAATAAACAAATACAACCGCGAAGCAATATGGATAGAGTTTATCCTTGCATTTACGAAATTCTCAACGCCCTTAGGAGCTATCAGGGCGGAAGAGAAAAATTGATATCAGACGTGATTTCTTTTTCATGCAGTTTTGATTAAGTTTTTAATTATGAGCCTAGTATGTAAAAAAACTGGCAGTGTGTTATTCCAAACCAAAACTGTTTTTTGAAATCAGTAAGATAGGTAGAAAAATACTGCCTCATAGAAAGAGAGAGTTAATTTTATTGAGTCATAATGTCCAATTTATGGTTTTATATTGTTGAATATCATAATGTTATTTTTTTTTTAAATAGCGCCAGAAATTTTGGAGATAGTGCAGAGATTCTGATGAGGTGTAATGAGAAAGCCAGACATAACTTTAGAAAAGGAGACAGGAGAGGGAGAGAGAGAGGGAGAGAACGAGAGAGGAAGAGAGAGAGAGAGAGAGAGAGAGAGAGAGAGAGAGAGAGAGAGAGAGAGAGAGAGAGAGAGAGAGAGAGAGAGAGAGAGAGAGAGAGAGAGATTAACCATTAATTTATAAAATTTTCTCTGACATTGCAGAGACTTGGAAAATGAGTCTCATCAGAGTTGAAAACTGTTGTACAACATATGGGAATCTTTATTAAAGAAACGTTTCGCCACACAGTGGCTTCTTAAGTCCAATACAAAGCACAGAGGAATAAGGAGAGGAGGAGTTTGAAGTAATCAGTCCCTCAGCCTAGAATCTATATGTTCAGTCCATCAGTCTTGTAGAAAGTACAGCACATGGCCGGAGAAGCAGCTTAAATACGCGAGTCGAAACAGAGGAGACGAGACCACAAGCTCCTCTCCTTACTCCTCTCTGCTGTGTATTGGAGTGAACAAGCCACTGTGTGGCGAAACGTCTTTTTAATATTGATTCCCATTTGTTGCACAACAGTCTTCAACTTGTCGATTTTCAAATCATTTATAACAACAGAGTTGAAAACATTGACTGATCCTCAGTTGATGTGTCATTTTTATGCTGGTAATGTAATCGCTGCCTCCGTCCACTGGTCATATATATGGGATATATTTTCGTAAAATATAAATGTCGTTAACTTACCAAACACGAATGATGAAAATTTGATAAGTAATTCGTTAACTATTATTTATTATTATTGTTGTTGTTGTTGTTGTTGTTGTTGTTGTTGTTTGAAGTATAATATCAGTAATGTTGGTAATAAAGATATTAATACTAGTAGTAATAGTAGTAATGGCGGCAGCAGTGGCAGTAGTAGTAGTAGTAGTAGTAGTAGTAGTAGTAGTAGTAGTAGTAGTAGTAGTAGTAGTAGTAGTAGTAGTAGTAGTAGTAGTAGTAGTAGTAGAAGTAGTGGTAATAGCAGTAATAGTAGTGGTAGCAGTAACTGTAGAAACAGTAGTAGTAATAATAGTAGTACTGGGAGTAACAGAATTTATAAGCATTGTTGCTGCTATCATTAATAATATTATTAATAATTATTAGCATTAAATAATATGTAAATTACTTCTTGTTTCAATTATTATAAATACTATTGCATTTGTTGGTCATCCTTGAATGTAATAATAATCAGACGTTGTTATACTCATTTTTAAGTAACTTGCTAAGTGAGCTCTAGATGGTAGATAACCATGGTTTACCATGAAGCTGTAAGCTGGTGCGAGACAGACAAGCTTCCTAGCATCACTTGCCGAGCCTTGAGCCAAAAAATGTTTGTATATGTCGAGTATTGGATGTGACCAGACAAACTGTAGTGTATAGACGCATATACCAAAGAACCTTTATATTTAGAACATAAGAAAGAAGGAACACTTCATCAGGCATACTGGTCCATGCGAGGCAGGTCCAAGTCTCCTGCCGGCTTAAGCCAATGCCCCAACGTAGTCAGGTCGGGACACATTCACCTAAGGAAGGAGCACGGCATCTGACCTAGTAGCACAAGCTAGTCAGGTCCAGCTCACACCCACCCGCACCCACTCATGTATTTATCTAAGCTATTTTTAAAACTACACAACGTTCTAGCCTCTATAACTGTACTTGGGAGTTTGTTCCACTCACCAACATTAATGAGAGTACAGCTGTTTATGACAGCTATGTACCCCTCACAGTAGCAAATTATTACGAGGTACAGATCCGTACAGAACCAGGGAAATGGAAGGCAATCAGTTTTAATCTTAGAAATGAAGAGTAGTTCTAATTCTTTTGAAAAAATAATGTCTTTACCAGCATCATGGCACTTGTCTTGAAGGATCTGTAGAAACAACATTCTGGAGATTTCTCGCTCGAGCTGGGAATGTCGTAAATATTGTAAATAAATTGGAAGGGAGATTAAGCACATATATGGGGTGTGGTGGATGATATGCCGGTGTGTGGTGGATGACATACCTGTGTGTGGTGATGAAGTGGTAAAATGAGAGCCTCTGAGGGGTCAGTGAGGAGCATGAGGGCATGACCTATGGCAGCGTATCTCCACACACGCCCACACACCCACACCGACACCTTCACCAAGCCTTTCTTCTTCATTTTGCTCTCCCGTGGGGACTTCACCACCGTTTCCAGCTGTAAGAAGTAGAATCATTGCTAGCATTATCTATCCAATGGACACCACAGCCTTCACAACCGTTTCCAGCTGCAAGAAGAATCATTGTTAGCACCATCTATCCAAACCTTCCGACGGACGTCGTGACCTTAGACACGAAAGTGAAGTATTCTTCCACATTGTTTCTCAGGCATACTGCCAGATAAGATTTATTTTTCACTTTTTCTTCTGTCGTTAATCTCAAGATATTTATGGTATAATACTTGTGGTTGTAATGGCGCATTAGTCACTACTGAAACTGTAAGTATCGCATAGTGTCCAGCAGATAAAAAAAAAATGCATATACTGAGTATTTTACACGATATCTCAAAATTAATAAGTATACAAGATAAAAATGCAGGAAAACATTATTAAGGCATAAGTTTTGCAAGTTTTGAAGCCTTGATGGCCCAGATTAACACTACTTTGGCGTAACGATCCACAGATTTATTGAGGCAACATCAGTTGGGTACACGAAGTTCTGTTGACATTTTTGGTGGGTTGGAAGAATGTGTCAACACATGGCCTGGGGAGGGGAGGAAAGGAGGGGGAGGGGAGGAAAGGAGGGGAGGGGATTTTAGAAGCTGACCCATCACTGGATTCCATCTCTATTGCAGATACATGTTCCTATATTCTGGGGGAATCAATGACGCATATGTAGTTATAAGCTCTTGCAAATTTATTTATCCATATTAACGTATATATTTATTTTACACAAAAAAAACCGACAGAAGGACGGAAACTCAAGGCGTTTCGCACTGTCCCCAGGGTTTTGTTAGGAGCTATACCAGACTACAATACTTATATGAAATGGAAATTCTCAGAGGTAAGCAGACAGTGTGGTCAGCGCCATGTACATCCTATCAGACCCTGGCCTAGAGTTGTCTTTCCTTGTGGCTCGTTTTGCATCTCCTGATCGCACGTTTGCGATTGTCTTGCATATACTACACAAATAATAATAATAATAATAATAATAATAATAAAATAATTAATAATAATACTAACAGAAAGACAATCTTACCTTGACTTTGACGTTGGGACCATGGGCGTGTGGAAGGACCAACCAACGAGTGCGACCTCCAGGCTCCACGCTTACTTCCAGCATTAGACCGCCCGACCCGCCTACCCAAGGCAGCCCTGCCAGCCCACACACGCCCACGCGTACCCTGAGTGTGGGCGGATTCAGCGAGA